TACACTCGAGGCCAGAAAGCCTCCTCACAATACACTCGAGGCCTGAAAGCCTCCTCACATCACTCAGCATATCCTCACATATGGCCCTCGGCCTCAATCAGTCCAAAAATAATCATAAGCCCCTCGGGCATCAGTAAAGAAACAATAATGCTCAGCTCAAACAGTAGTTCAAATATCAGTTAAAACTCGAGGTTGAGTAAAAATATAGCTGAGTTCATGAAACAGTGTAATGACAATGGACTGAGTTCAAATAATATTTCAAATAGTGAGGAAAACAGTGATGATAGCTCATAGGGAGTTCAAACAATCGGCAATAAGCCCCAAATACGGCAATAAGCCCAAGTCCTAGTGAAAAACAAGAAGTCATAGCGAAATACGCGGTAAAATCAACAACCGGGACGGACCAAGTCACAATCCCCAACGGTGCTCTACCCCACGCTCTCTATCTGGCGTGCAAGTCACCTCAATATAGCACTATGGGTGCAAATCCGGGGTTTCAAACCCTCAGGATATCATTTACAATCATTACTCACCTCGATCCGGCGAAATCTCTAGCCCGCGACGCCTTTGCCCCTCGAATCGGCCTCCACGCGCGTCGAATCTAACCAAAATCAGAGCGAGTACATCACAATATGCCAAGGGAACGATGCCCAATCGAAAACAATCGAAATATAGCAAAAATCTCGAAACTAGCAAAACCCGAGCCCCGGGCCCACTTCTCAAAAAATTACAAAACTCACATTACCGGATTCCTCGTCTCGCCACGAGTCCATACATATCAAGTTTACCAAAATCGGAGTTCAAATGCCCTTTCAAATCCCAAATTTTCATTTCAAAAACCAAGCCCTAGTTCTTCCAATTTTTACACAAATTTCCAAGAATTAAAGGTTGATTCTTCAATAAAAATGACGTTTCTAGGTCCGAGACTTACCTCCAATTGATTCCCGTCAAAATCCTCTTCAATCTCTACCAAAAAGCTCTTAAGGTGGTCAACAATGGAGGAAATCATCCCAAGCTCGCGGATGAAATATTGAATAAAAACCCTCCTAAACAGTCCAGTTTTCGCTTCTGCGGTCCCCATGCCTGCTTCCGCGTGACCGCTTCTGCGGTCCTTGTCCGCTTAAGCGGAAATTCATTAAATCACAAGGGTCGCATCTGCGACACAATTTCTCGCTCTGCGAAGTCTCACCTCCAAGCCCAAATGCTTCTGCGACTTCTTGTCCGCTCCTGCGGACTCGCTTAGGCGAAAATACTTCCGCTTCTGCGGAACTGCTCAACCTCATCCTATTCCGCACCCGCGATGCTTTCTCCGCTTCCGCGCAACCGCATCTGCGGTCTCCTTTCCACAGATGCGGAAATACCTGCTGCAGCCAAGAACCTGCAATTACCAACTTCAAATTTTCTTCCAATGGCCACCCGAAATCACCCCGAGGCCCTCGGGACCTCAACCAAAAGCACCAACATGTCTTAAAACATTATTCAAACTTGCTCCAATCAACAAAACACCTCAACTAACACTAAAATCATTGAATTACATCGGATTCGATCCTAAGTTTCTTAAAAACTTCCGAAATACGCATTTGATCGAAAACCCGCTCAAAACACCTCCGAATGGTCTGAAATTTTGCACACATATCCAAAATCACCTAACGAAGCTACAACAACTCTCGGAATTCCATTCCGACCCTCGGATCAAAATCTTACCTATCAATCGGTACTCGCCGAAATACTAACTTTGCCAATTCAAGCCTAATTCTACACCGAACCTCCAAACTCAATTCCGATCGCACTCCTAAGTCACAATTCACCTCCCGAAGCTAACCGAATCACCGGAAGCCACATCCGAGCCTCCTAACTCATAAGTCAACGTCCGGTTGACTTCTCCAACTTAAGTCTTCCTTAAAAAGACTAAGTGTCTCATTTTCTACCAAAACCAATCCAAATCAACTCTAACACACCAAACACTGATAAAGAAACATGAAGAAGCATGAAATGGGGGAAATGAAGCAGTAACACATGAGACGACGGATCGGGTCGTTACATATTAGAAGTGTCCAGACCTCTGAAGATACAGAGCTCAGTTCCAGTCACTTTTTGGGAAGAATGTGTTAAAACTACAACATATCATATTAATAGACTACCTACTACTGTTTTAGATGGGAAACGCCCTATGAGATGTTATATGGGGAAGTACCTAAACTGGAACATCTAAGGGTGTTTGGGTGTTTGAGCTATGCTAGCAATTTGCCTAGAGGTGACAAATTAGATGCAAGAGTAAGGAGAGCAGTGTTGTTGGGGTATTCTGATACTCAGAAGGGCTACAAGTTGTTTGACCTTGACACAAGGACATTCTTCATGAGCAGAGATGTCAGCTTCAGGGAATCCGCTTTTCCTTTCAAAATGGGAAAGGCATGTGATGATGAGTTGTTATTTGTCCCTATAACAGATGCTGCTGGAAAGACTTTACAACCTGAACTACCAAGTACAACAAATCCCTCAAATACCACAGATCCCCCAATAAAAGCACACACCCCTGATACTGAAAATACACATCCTGAGCTGTTAGTACCCACACATCCTACATAAGTTGCAGAACCTATGGAGGACACACTGGGAATCCATGCTGAATCTGAAGATGAAACTACACCATTGCAGGAATCAAATGTGATGGATCAACCTATAGATAATGGCAGGGGGAAGAGAGTGACCAGACCTCCAATTTGGCTCAAGGACTATGTGACCACAAGTAAACCCACTGGACAGTGTTCATATCCAGTATCCCACTATGTGGATTACAGCAGGTTGTCACCAGGATATCAGCAATATTTAGGATTCCTCTCAGCCCAAATGGAACCAAAGAATTTCACTGAAGCATCTCAAGATCACAACTGGATAACAGCAATGAAGGAAGATATAGCAGCCCTAGAGCAAAACCATACCTGGGAACTAGTAAATCTGCCAAAAGGGAAGCAAGCTATTGGATCCAAATGGGTATACAAGATAAAGCATAAGCCTAATGGGGATATAGACAAATACAAAGCAAGAATTGTAGCCAAGGGGTACAATCAAAAGGAGGGACTAGACTACCATGAGACATTCTCACCAGTGGCCAAAATGGTCACTGTGAGGACTGTCATTACTGTGGCAGCATGCAAGGACTAGGAATTACATCAAATGGATGTCAATAATGCATTCCTACAAGGGGATTTATTTGAAGAAGTTTACATGGAAGTTCCTCAAGGTTTCCAACGACAGAGGGAGTATAAAGTGTGTATATTAATCAAGTCCCTATATGGGTTAAAACAAGCTTCGAGACAATGGAACATAAAACTTACTGATGCACTTCTAGCAGCAGGCTACAAACAGAGTTCCTATGATCATTCCTTATTCACCAAACGAGCAGGAGGAGAAATAGCCATCATCTTGGTGTACGTGGATGATCTCCTAATCACTGGAAGCAGCAAGGAACTGATACAGGAAGCTAAAAGAACTTTGCATAACAATTTTAAGGTAAAGGACCTAGGAGAGCTGAGGTATATTCTAGGAATTGAAGTAATGAGGTCCAAAGATGGCATACTACTCAATCGAAGGAAGTATGCACTTGGACTAATATTTGATCTAGGACTCAGTGGAGCTAGGCCTGTAACCACACCAATAGAAGTCAATGTGAAGCTCAAAGAATAGACTATGATGAATGTGTTGGGGGTGTCAATGATCCTGAACTTGAAGACATAACAGCTTATCAGAAGTTGATTGGGAGGCTGTTGTACCTCACCATTACCAGGCCTGACATCAGTTTTGGAGTGCAAGTTCTAAGTTAGTTCATGCAAGGACCAAAGATTTCACATTGGAATGCAGCATTGAGGCTAGTGAAGTACATAAAGAATGCACCTGGACAAGGACTGCTACTAAGAAGAGATCCTAAAGCTGAGTTGACAGTCTTCTGTGATTCAGACTGGGCAGCATGCCCAAACACTATGAGGTCAGTGACAGGGTTCGTGGTGAAGCTGGGAGAGTCCTTGATTTCTTGGAAATCAAAGAAGCAGCAAACAGTAAGCAAGAGCTCAACAGAAGCTGAATACAGAAGCATGGGAGCAGCAATCTCGGAAGTAATTTGGCTAGAAGGATTACTGGCAGAGTTAAGTGTGCCAATTTCCATACCTGTGCAGCTCTTTTGTGACAACAAAGCAGCAATTCAAATTACTTCTAATACAATCTACCATGAAAGAACCAAGCATATCGAGATAGACTGCCATTTTATTAGGGAGAAGATTAAAGAGGGGTTGATACAAACTCAACATGTGAGTACCAATGTTCAGCTGGCAGACATACTGACAAAGGCCTTAGGAACTGTGCAGCATCAATACCTATTGTCCAAGCTTGGAGTGTTCAATGTATTTCATCCTCCAGCTTGAGGGGGAGTATTGAAAATGTATACAAAATACTGCTAGTTAAGTCAGCCATAGTTAGTTAGGGGAAAGGACACGTGACTAGTGTGTCCAGCTGTCATTCTCTTTTACTCTGTATAAAAGGAAGGTTCACTTCCTTCTCTAACATATAGAAACAAAATACAGAAAAAGCTCTCTAGAATCTTCCACCGTTCCATTCTCTTTCAATGGCATTAGCTTATAACTGATTCACTGCTAGTTTTGACAATAATAGATATAAATTTTTACATTATTATAATCCCAAAGACAATATAATTCTAAAAATACATTTGAAATGACACGACAATTGCACGCCAAATATATATTATTTAGTTATATTTAAATAATTTTTTAAAACTTCATATTTATTGTTATGGGTTTGCGCGTACCCTAAGACTAGTATAAGTAAATGTGGGTACAAATTTTATCACTTAATTATTATTACATGATATGCATTTGTACTTTAATTCTGACCGTCACTAACTTATCCCTTTTGTTTAATCTCTTCCGCCTGCAGCCTTTAATATTAATTTATTATCACCCACTACTTAATCATTTATATAATGATCAATGATTTCCCAAATTTAAGCTCATCTTCACTAATAGTAATAGCACCCAAAACTGAGCTTATTTTACAATGTATCTCACAGTTCTGATGATTCTGCTACTACTTTTGACTTTCCTTTTCAAGTTCATTTACTCGGTGATTTACATTCCATATAAGTTCGGAAAACACTTTAGGAAACAAGGAATTGGAGGTCCTAACTACCGTCTGATCTACGGAAACTCAGAGGAAATCAAACGGCAGATAAGCAAAGCTGAATCGAAATCAGTTCCGTTTAATCACAACGTGTTGCATCGGATTGCTCCTCACTACTACAACTGGTCGGCCAAATATGGGAAGACGTTTTTGTTCTGGTTTGGGTCGAAGCCCCGGTTGGCTATTGCTGATCCGGATATGATTAAAGGGCTTTTTATGAATAAAGCTGTGGATAAGATTGAGTTTGATCCATTAACTAAGCAGCTGTTTGGGCAAGGGCTTGTTGGTTTACAAGGTGAACAGTGGGCTTTACATAGGAGGATTGCAAACCAGGCCTTCAATATGGAGATTGTTAAGGTGATCCATCTTCTGACCCAGCCCATTTGGTTAAGTTTTTGTTGTTTTTCAAATAAAAAGGGATATTTACACAAATAGCCGGCAAATTCACTATTTTTTTTCCTAGCCCGTACGCATAGATTATACACTGCTCATATATATATA